CCCCTCCCCCCCATATTAGCGGAATTAACGTTGTCTTTATCAATTTGTTAAATAAAAATAAAGTCGGCAACAGATGCTATGGAAACTAGCCTTTGAAGGACACCGACCTAAAGGATATCCGAACTAGTTATCGGGTAGTTTTTATTTATTTAAAATAACCGAAACTATAAGCTTTATAAATCAAAAGCTGGAATTTACCCTCGAATTTTAGCAAATACAAATAACAAAGATTAATTACCCCGGAAAAGGTTTTTTTTTGGCTTGCTTTGTGAAATAACTTTTTTAACATTAATGATACTCTGGAACTTTAGAGAGACTGAAATTAAGCAGCAGACATATTTTTAGAAATGGTTCTTTTTCGAAAACAACCGGTTAATTAATATCAAACTTGTTAAAAAAACTCTTAAAATTTGTTCTATTGTAAATTATGTAGAACGATAAATTTTAAACTTAACATCATTCTCAGAAATAAATATTTAAACCTTAAAAAGAGTAGTTTTAGAACTTAAATCGTCTCCTCATTAGAAATTAAAACTAAGTCCAACTTTCATTTAATTTCACCTAGACAGCTTAACCCGACCTAACCTATTTAAAGATTTGTTGCAACCCTCAAGAAAACTAAATAAAATTGTCATTTATAGGATAATTTTTCAGAAATGAAAAAACTAAAAAACATTAATATTTTCCTGGTTTTTTCTCCTTTTTTGAACCAAAGATTTGATAAACCTTTGAATAAACGGTTGCTTGAAAATAGACCGCGGAGCCCTGGTATAAACTTATATAAAACTATACTGTATAGTCAATATATGATCCCTGGTATAAACTTATATAAAACTATACTGTATAGTCAATATATGATCCCTGGTATAAACTAATATAAAACTATACTGTATAGTCAATATATGATCCCTGGTATATAAACTTATATAAAACTATCCTATATAGTCAATATATGATCCCTGGTATAAACTTATATAAAACTATAATGTATAGTCAATATATGATCCCTGGTATATAAACTTATATAAAACTATACTGTATAGTCAATATATGATCCCTGGTATAAACTTATATAAAACTATAATGTATGATCAATATATGATCCCTGGTATAAACTTATATAAAACTATACTGTATGATCAATGTACGATGAACCGAGCGAAATATCTTTAAATGTGACAATTCCAGGGTTAGATCAAGTCGTCTGCCTTAAATATTGTAATTTAATGGCTTTACAAATTATTTGGCAAAAAAAGACACACTTTTATAGATGTAGGCAACAGGGGCGTAAGAGAGCATTTGTGTAGGGGGGAGCACTTTTTGTGCTTTTTAATAACATTTTTAGTGACATCTATTTGTTTTCTAACAATATAAGCCAATATTACAAAAATTTACTTAAATGTCGTCTTCCATTTCCTTTTTAAGAAGTCAAACTTTATGAATGATATTTTTAGCTTTTTATAAGTTCCTTAAAAGTGCTTCTTCTGTTTTTTCCTCAGACGTTTCACAGACAGGGTCTGAAATATAAAAAGAAGGTGCAAGAGTAGTTTCAAGTACTCTTCTCGCAAATAAAATACTCGATTGAAACCTTTTTCTGATTAGTAATGTTGAAGATATTGTCGTTTTTCTTTAAAAACTTTAAAAGTGGACTTAATTATAATAATTCCCGTAGCTTTATTTTCAGAGGTTTGGAATAAAATATTAAAACCATTCCTTACAATTAAATATGAACCCTGATTTATTAGGGGCAATACGTTGGTTCGTTTTTCTTAGACTTTTGAGGTTTTTAAATGCTGTGAACTTGCTAAATGTTTCAACATTTCAAAACTGTACCAAATATAAAAGTCTGATTTTAGTAACATTTTTATTCAAAGAGAAAGAAAGGGAAAATATTTTTGTTTTGAATTCGATTTAGCAACTTAATTCTTTCAGGGGGTAAAATAAACAGTTTTAGAATTTGTAAAACTTCCCCCAGGTATTTTTGAAACCTTCGAAAAGTTCAAAAAGTATTTAAAAAAACTAACATAGTTAGCTAGCTATTGCCTTAACTTTTACCTGACTGTCCAGGGTTGTTTCTGCAAGGTTCTTGGATAAGCTGGACTCTACACTTTACCTGACTGTCCAGGGTTGTTTCTGCAAGGTTCTTGGATAAGCTGGACTCTACACTATACCTGACTGTCCAGGGTTGTTTCTGCAAGGTTCTTGGATAAGCTGGACTCTACACTTTACCTGACTGTCCAGGGTTGTTTCTGCAAGGTTCTTGGATAAGCTGGACTCTACACTATACCTGACTGTCCAGGGTTGTTTCTGCAAGGTTCTTGGATAAGCTGGACTCTACACTTTACCTGACTGTCCAGGGTTGTTTCTGCTAGGTCCTTGGATAAGCTGGACTCTACACTTTACCTGACTATCCAGGGCTGTTTCTGCAAGGTTCTTGGATAAGCTGGACTCTACACTTTACCTGACTGTCCAGGGTTGTTTCTGCAAGGTTCTTGGATAAGCTGGACTCTATATTTTACCTGACTGTCCAGGGTTGTTTCTACAAGGTTCTTGGATAAGCTGGACTCGCCAGATCATCCCAGGATAACCCTGGCTAACTAACAAAACCAATGTCTTGAGACAGATTACTAATCCCAGGTCAAGAATATGTCGAAATTTAGTATTTTTGGAAATGCACAAAGTGTATCCTAAAGGCCTAGTGTTCCAAAAAAACGAAGCAATCCTGAAACCTAAACCAAGAAAGTTAAAATTTTCATTTTTCATGAGAAATATAGAAATAAAAGTAACATAATCTTTCTATATCTTTGTACCGTGTTACATGCTAAAGATTAATGGTCTGACAGTTAATTACACCTTCACCAATAATTTTATACTTGTCATAAATAAAGCTTTTAGTGCAAGTTAGAGAATGATTAAAGAACACTTTTTGAGTTTTGGCATTATATTACAATATATGTCTTTATATGAATTTGTTGTATGGTTTAAAATTTTTAGATATACTTGGAGTTTTAATCTGTATGTGAAGCAATTTCTGTTTGTTTGTTATTTTGTATATATAATTAGAATTTAGATATAGAAATTATATAACCTTAAGAAATCCATATTTAAAAAAAAAATTATAATTGATTCTGTTTCCCTGAATAAAGTTCTCCTGGGTACACTACAGGGATAACATCTAGGAATAAAAATAACCTGTTCATATATACAAATACATAGAGTTTTTGAAATGTCGTCTTGAAATATATTCAAAAATTTTAGACAGCTGTAATGCTTCCTCATTAATCTGCAACAATAAGGAAAATGCAGAGATGCTCGCAGTTTCAAAGGGTTGAATATCATTGAAGAGTCATTATTTTTTTATAATTTTAAGAAACTGATTTTGTATTTTTAGTTCAAGGTAAATAGCCCAAAAATTTAAATGACAGCAGTTAATTTATCATACTTGTTTTTACGCGGCATTTGATCTTGAAAATTAATCAAAAATTCTTGCTATGTATTCATATATCTGGGATTCACTGTACATTCCGTCACAAAAAGCTGGTCTTTTTATATTGAACAATTTTAATTTCTAATTTAAATATTTATTTATGCAGGTACAGGGTGTCCCACGAAACATAGCAGTTGATAAATAGTTTAGAATGTCGTCTTCCAAATACTGGATAAGATTTAAAGACTTTTTGCAGTTTAGTTCGGTAGAAAAATCTTTTGCTCCAATATATCCTAATCTAAGATCGATTTTACCATAATAAAACTGCCATATAATGTTTATTATAATTTTCTTTGGTATCAAACAACTTGAAAAATTATGGAAGAAGAAATTGTAAAATATTCAGCAACTGTCATGTTTCGTAAGACACCCTGTAGGTCCAAAAGAATGTCATTTATCTCACAAAAGTTAGAACCTATAGAAAATAAAACCCCCTCGGGAATCAATGATAAACTCTAAAACTACACCCCCGAGTCTTAAAGGTTTTAGTTTCCATTGGTTCAAATTTTTCTGACAGAAAATTAATATTTATAAAAAAAAATTAAGCTAGTTTGGAACTTATATTTGACATAAAACTGAACCAAAAAGACTGGAAATCCGAAATGGAAAACTTTTAAATGTTTTTAGCTAAAGAAACTTTTGACTAATTCTGTTAAACAAAGAATCTAGTTTCTAAAGGGTTTAAACAATATTAAAACAAAAAGCTCAGAGTTTGAAAAGGATAGAGTAAAAATAGAAAATAGAACAAGAACTTACATTCAAAACCATCCTTATTGCCAGAGATTCTTGAACAAATAATAAAGATTATAAATCTGTCTTAAAATTCCGTTAATGTTTACCAAAAAATCCGTTAATGTTTACCAAAAAATGCGTTAATGTTTACCAAAAAATCCGTTAAGGTTTACCAAAAAATCCATTAATGTTTGCCAAACAAATCCGTTAATGTTTACCAAAAAAATCCGTTAATGTTTACCAAAAATCCATTAATGTTTACCAAAAGTCCATCAATGTTTACTAAAAATCCATTAATGTTTAAATCCGTTAATGTTTATCAAAAAATCTGCAAAATTTTTAAGGTTTAAAATTATGCAGAAAAAACTGAGGATTGAAAAGCAATGATTAAAAGATAGAAATTGTTACTGTAATCTGAAAGTTTCGTTTTTAAGATACAGTTTAAACATTTTCTATCGAAAACGCCTGGTCTTGAGATTTTCAAAATGCGAACTACCATTCATGTATTTTCAAAATTGACGGAGATATTTAAAAACTTGTAAAAATTTCAATTTATGTAATAAATTAAAATTGTCTTAATATCTAAAATCCTGGTTAATTTCTAAGACACAAGAAAGGTATATATATATATATATACCACTTTATAAGACGTACAAGCTCGATTTCATACTGTCTTTACCATGCCTTACATTTCAAAAATTAAAGACGACTTTCATGTCGTCTCTCAATTCCCATGTTTATTAGGACACCCTGAATATTCTACCAAAAAAACGTTATTGACAGCCTTTTTAAGATGTGATCATGGTTTGTATTAAAATATAGTTATTATAAGATAAAATGATATTTAAAAATTAAAAGATTTTATTATCATTTATCAAATTTTTTAATTATCCCTGAAATTGTTGAGCACTGTTGATGATGATGAGTTAATGAAAACGGTCAAAGAGTCTAATTCTAAATAATTAAACATTATATAATTATTTATGTAGCTAGTTAAAAACCTTCTTGAATGAGGACAAGGTTATGATGCAAGGAAAGTTAATTCAGAGGTGTACGCATCATTTGTACTACAGTAAACACAAGACGTATGTCGAGCCTGACATGGGATCCATCTTTCACATATAAAATCAATGAAATATTTATGATGAAACTATTATGTGAATTATCAATATTAAATGCTTTTATCCTCCTTGGATACTAAACAAACACTGATACATCTATTCCGCCCAGAGAGAACTGGTTTCAATGTGTATGCGTATGCAACTGCAATTAACTTTCCTTGCATTATAACCTTGAATGTGGGTATGCTTTGATTTATTATATGCCAATAAAACATCAATATTCAAATCTATATTTGGTTTTATAAACAATTTACTGTCAAACATTTCTTATAACAACACATTTAGTGAACAAAATCTTCCATATCATAAGATAAAGGTTAATAATAGGGCATTGCCATCTTTGCATGGAGGGTCACTTGAAATTAAGTTTTACAGTCCATTTAAATTGTCTATTCAACCTGTTTTTTTGTTGAAGTCTGCAGAAGAAATTGATCCGAACCTAAACATACGTTAATTATCAGGGTTGTATAATAAGGTTATAATTACTTGGGATGCGCTCCAATGTACGGGAAATGTCGTTTTCATAACAATGGACACTCAAAACCGTAATGTAAAGTATCTGATGAAATGTGGAATTTGAAGTGACAACGTTGGCTGTTTCATCCTCATTAGACTTTTTAAAGCTATAACTCGATTCTGAAAGTCGTCTTTCCATCACAGAGTTTTCGTCTTTTAATCTTAAATTAAATATTTTTTTTTCGAAACAGGAAATAATTTTTACTTTAAATAAGGTGAAGAAATTAAAAATTTACCTCTCCAATACTAGTCTGACAGCACAAACATCAGGTTGAAGGGTTAGCTAAAAAATGACATGAAATGACATGAAATGACATGAAATGACATGAAATGACATGAAATGACATGAAATGACATGAAATCATGAAATGACACGAAATGACACGAAATGACACGGAATGACACGAAATGACACGAAATGACACGAAATGACACGAAATGACACGAAATGACACAAAATGACACAAAATGACACAAAATGACACAAAATGACACGAAAGGACACAAAATCACATGAAATCACATGAAATCACATGAAATCACATGAAATCACATGAAATCACATGAAATCACATGAAATCACATGAAATCACATGAAATCACATGAAATCACATGAAATCACATGAAATCACATGAAATCACATGAAATCACATGAAATCACATGAAATCACATGAAATCACATGAAATCACATGAAATCACATGAAATCACATGAAATCACATGAAATCACACGAAATGACACGGAATGACACAAAATGACACGGAATGACACAAAATGACACAAAATCACATGAAATCACATGAAATCACATGAAATCACATGAAATCACATGAAATGACATAACATTAAAAGGTCACCTTGTGAACACAAGAAACAGTCAGTGCTTTTTCTTCCTGTTAACTTTAATCTTAAAAGACTTAAAAGAAAATATATATTATTAATATTATTAAAGAAAGGTTAGAAGAATAGGATTTAAACCAATGTTTATAAAGAAAAGATAGAACAATTGGATTTAAACCAATGTTATTGAAGAAAGGTTAGACGAATAGGATTTAAGCCAATGTTATTGAAGAAAGGTTAGAAGAATAGGATTCAAACCAATGTTTATAAAGAAAGGTTAGAAGAATAGGATTTAAACCAATGTTTATAAAGAAAGCTAGAACAATTGGATTTAAACCAATGTTATTGAAGAAAGGTTAGACGAATAAACCAATGTTTATAAAGAAAGGTTAGAAGAATAGGATTTAAACCAATGTTTATAAAGAAAGATTAGAAGAATAGGATTTAAACCAATGTTTATGAAGTAAGGTTAGAAGAATAGGATTTAAACCAATGTTTATGAAGTAAGGTTAGAAGAATAGGATTTGTTTATAAGGAAAGTTTATAAAATAGGTTTTTAACTTTTGGTTATATATAAAGTTTTGGACCCCTCCCCTAAAATTATGGTAGATTTAAAGCTTTCCTGTGGAAATGATGGATTTTGAAAATACGAAATTCTAGAATTTGTGCTTCCTCCGCAAATTTGAACATCTAAAAAAAATCATTCTGATGAAATTTTACGATTTTACATACACTCTTACTTAGAAATTATACGCCTTAAAAAATTATCAAAGGCCGGAATCCTATAATTTTCTCTATAACAATTTATAGACCAAAGTGTACATGTTATACTTTACCTGTACAACACTATGTAGACCAAAGGGTGTATGTTTTACCTTACCTGTACAATAATATGTGGACCAAAGTGCACATTTTTTATATTTATATGTTAAAGTACATGGACAACATGTTTTACTTTAAATGTACAACAATACGCAGACCAAAGTGTACATATGTTACACTTTACCTGTACAACAATATGTAGACCAAATTATACTTTTATCACTTTACCTGTACAACAATATGGAGACCAAATTGTACTTGTATCACTTTACATGTACAACAATATGTAGACCAAAGTGTACTTGTATCACTTTACCTGTACAACAATATGTAGACCAAAGTGTACTTGTATCAANCTCCATTGGTTGTACAGTACTAAACTTACATGTACTTTCAGGATCCTTGAGCTCCATTGGTTGTGCAGTACTAAACTTACATTTACTTTCAGGATCCTTGAGCTCCATTGGTTGTACAGTACTAAAATTACATGTACTTTCAGGATCCTTGAGCTCCATTGGTTGTACAGTACTAAAATTACATGTACTTTCAGGTTCCTTGAGCTCCATTGGTTGTACAGTACTAGACTTACATGTACTTTCAGGTTCCTTGAGCTCCATTGGTTGTACAGTACTAAACATGCATGTACTTTCAGGTTTCTTGAGCTCCATTGGTTGTATAGTACTAAACTTACATGTACTTTCAGGTTCCTTGAGCTCCATTGGTTGTACAGTACTAGACTTACATGTACTTTCAGGTTCCGTGAGCTCCATTTTTGTAACAGTACTAAACTTGCATGTACTGACAGGTTTCTTGAGCTGCTTGTACTTACTTGTACAAGCAGCTCAAGATTTTGATTACTTCTTCTAGCAGGTTCCTTGCACTCCATTGTTTGTACTTATACTTGTACTGGTGGGTTCCCTTTTCTCCGTTATATCTGGAGTATTGTACTTGTACTACAAGGTTCATTGTACTCAATTGTATATTTGTACAGTTTTTTTTATATATCATTGTGCTGGAGGGATTCCTGTACTCTGTTGTATCTAGAGTATTGTACTAACTTGTACTTACAAGTTTATTGTACACTATTGTATGAACAGTATTTTACTTACTTGTACTGCTAGGTTCCTTGTACTAAATTGTATTCACAGTATTGTATTTTCTTGTAATGGCATGTTCCTTGTACTCCTTTGTTTGTACAGTATTGTACGTACAATTGTACTCTATTGTATGTACAGTATCGTACTTACTTGTACTGGCAGGTCCCATGTACTCCATTGTATGTACAGGCCCGACCAACATCAGCTGCAGGCATAAACGGTACATGTGAGAGTACAAGAGGGGAATCAAACCATTTAGGAAACCGAACCGGAATCCAGTCTAACAAATGCAAAATTTATTATTATTCAGGCTGACGTCAGGTTTATCCAATATAGTCCCGGGCCCCCACCCCCCTCTATTTCCTTATTGATACAAATCTATAACATTTGATACACTTTTAGAAAGCCTTTGGGCTTCCCTTTGATAAAACTTCAAATATTTTATTGTTGCAATTTCAAGTTATAAAGCAAAATATGTGCAAAAACAAAAAGTGCGCAATTATGATAAACATTTTTGAAAAGCCATTACCACGGCAAATTCAAATGTGCAAAAATATTTTCAAAATCTTCAAAAACTTAATTTTTATTTAAGGAAAATGAAAATGTGAAAAATTTTTCTTGAGGCATCTGTTGCAACAAACTATGCAAAATTTCTTCGCAAAAACTTTCCAATCTGATTCCTTTTGTTGAAAGCTTTCCACAGAGCATACATAAAAAGTCTAAATTCAATGACCGGAAGTAGGTCTAAATATAGATTTAGTCGGGTAAAGGTAAAATAAGGCATTCAGGCAGTAGGTATAAAAGCCCTGGTTTGAGCCTAAAGTAAGGGACATGTGTTAGTTAGAAAAGTAAACAAATTTGAACAGTCTCAGACCAATACTTTTTGAGTTATCTCCAATAAAGTCAGAGGGGGTCCCTGGAATTCTTTCAGTTAATGATTGAATCCCTCAGGGGTTTAAATTTTCACTGATTCAAATGATAAATGAAAAAGTCAATGAAACCCCGGTAGAATAAAAACTGCTGTTTTTTTGGTAGGGAACAACTTTTATTGAATCCCGTCAATCTAAAAACATTTGTATACAGAAACCAACTCTTTTTATACAAATGTCACAAAATGAAAATTTAAATCCCCTCGGGATACATGCAGCATGATGAATGTACAAGTTTAATCCCCTCGGGATGCATGTAGCATGATGTATGTACAAGATTAATCCCCTAGGGATGCATGTAGCATGATGTATGTACAAGTTTAATCCCCTCGGGATACATGCAGCATGATGTATGTACAAGTTTAATCCCCTCGGGATGCATGCTGTATTATGTATGTACAAGTTTAATCCCCTCGGGATGCATGTAGCATGATGTATGTACAAGTTTAATCCCCTCGGGATACATGCAGCATGATGTATGTACAAGTTTAATCCCCTCGGGATACATGCTGTATGATGTATGTACAAATTATAGAAATAGGTTTGAAATATCACCTGCATTAAATACACTCGGCTCAGAAAACCTTAAACATTAAACAATTATTAGAATCTTATTCAAATTAAGAAAGTAATTGAGTCTTTGCCACAAATTCGGATTTCTAATTTCACTTTATGTTTTGCAATCAAAAATTTTAAACCTTAGAAATTATAAACTATTTTCAAATAATCTAAATTTGAAATATCGAAGGTTTACACCTTCAGGTTACAAAGATATAGGGATTAGAAAATTTGAATTTTTGACAAAGATTTAATTACTGATCCACGAAATTATTGCATTTTTTCAAATATGAATACTTAATTTAATATTATTCTATTAGTTTCATTGCAATATGAAACTACAACAAATATATGCTTTCTTATTAATAACTTGAAAAAATTTATTGACGATAAAAAACGCAAATTATTAATACTTAAATCAGTTGTCTGCATTGAAAATAATTCCGTTAAAACGTCTTTGAAGCTTTTTTCTTTGTGGATACCACTGTAACATTATTAAGAAAATGTAAAATTATTTTATTTTCAATCATAATATTACTATGAATATAAATTTTTTTTGTTTTTACCAAGGAGTATGGAATAGAAGGGAGATACAACTGACGCGGCCCGCCCTACCCTATGGTTATGCATGCTTTGCAGACGGTACTCCATTTGTATAAGAAATATTCAGAATAGGTTATTGTATACGCGGTAATTGTACATCAGACACATATTTCTTATTCAAATGAAGTACCGTCTGCAAAGTATGCATACTCATATGGTAGGGCGGGCTGCGTCATTTGTATCTCCCTTCTATTCCATACTCCTTGGTTTCTACCTAGCATTAAAGACTAGAAGGAGGCAGAAAATCAACTTCGAGTTCATCGGAAATTCTAAAACAAAAATAGTTATATTCGTATATAAAGTACCATGCCTGATTTACAACAGTACCAATTTTTTTTTGATTTTGGTTGTAGAAGTTAAAGGCCTTTCTCCAAAAATTGGAAAGGGTTTATTCCTGTTAATTCTGAAGGTAGCGGATATGCGCAGATTTCATTTTAGAGAATTCTCCATTTAATAAAATTTAACTATTTAACATTAACTATCAATTTTTTAAATAGAAAAAAATGAATATCTCATAAATTATCTATCAGACAAAGCTTTCAAGGGTACCGTTGTGAATCCGACATTCCACTCTTTTAAAAAATAGATAGGGTCATTAGAAATTACTTTGGTAAATATTTTCCAGAGTAGAATAACAGAAACTTCACAAGGACGTTTCGCGCTGCAATTTTTGCGTCTTTTTCTTATTCAATTTTTAAAAATTGGAGTAAAAAATGTCACTTCCACCACCACTGGTCATAAACTTTCTTTAGGGCCATTTAAGTAACCGGACTAGAAAACTAAATAAATATCCATCTATGAATAGCTATGAAACCACTAAAAGAAAAACGTTCTATGGTAAAAAAAAATTAGTAATAAGGATTTGAGAAAATATAATAAACTTTAATCGTTACATGAAGAAAGATAAAATAAATGAAACTTCAGCAAATTCCACTGTAAAGTAAACCTTTAGTTAAGAACGCTCTATAAGTAAAAAGATTGAAAAACGAGAAAAAAATTAAAATCCTCTGAGTAAAACAATTTAAACTTTATAAAACGTGTGAAAAAGAAAATTTTTTTATTCAAAGTACTAGTCTAAAATAAAATAACGTTTTTGGTATAACTTCGGTAAAAAAGAAATCAAATTTTTTTTTCCACATTCCCTTTCAATAACCTGCGTCTTTCCTAAGTGCAAATTTTATTTTGGCCCAAAAACTTTGAAATTATCAATTGTTTAACATCATATTGAAATTATCAAGTTTTTAACATCATATTGAAATTATCAAGTTTTTAACATCATATTGAAATACAATTTAAGAACTTGATTTAATTATCTTCAAATGGTATTAACCCAATCCCTGCTGGGGTACTTGAATAGGGTTAAACCATCAGTTAGAGCTATGAACGATCCAAAAAAGATGTGGGACAATCTGTTTTGTAACGTGTTTTCTAATGTGTTTTGTAATGTGTTTTGTAATGTGTTTTGTAATGTGTTTTGTAATGTGTTTTGTAATGTGTTTTGTAATTGTTTTGTAATGTGTTTTTTCAATAATGCTTAGGGACACTCTGTATCTACGACGGTGTGTGTTTTGGGACACCCTGTATCTTTAATATGTGGGTGTTTTTTCCATCAGAACTGTGCGACACCCTGTATCTACGACGGTAAGAGTTTTCCATCATAATTGTGGGACACCCTGTATCTACGACGGTAATAGTTTTCCGATATAACTGTGGGACACCCTGTATCTACGACGGTAATAGTTTTCCAATATAACTGTGGGACACCCTGTGTCTCTACAACGGTAATAGTTTTCAAATATATCTGTGAGACACCCTGTATCTACAACGGTAATAGTTTTCAAATATAACTGTGAGACACCCTGTATCTACGACGGTAATAGTTTTCCAATATAACTGTGGGACACCCTGTATCTACGACGGTAATAGTTTTTTAATATAACTGTGGGACACCCTGTAGTACGACGATGTGTGTTTTTAAGCCTTAATTTGTGGTATGAAGTGGTTCACACTAAATTCTATCTGATGGTGCGACGGAGTTCAATATGGAACCATATTGATTTTACCGGTTGAAAACTTGACTGGTTAGTAACATATCTTCTATATAATATAAAACAAGACATATCGTAAACATGACACCGATAGCCGGCCAAACGGCTGAACCGAATGGGCTAAATTTTTTTATGGACACCCATGGGTAGCCGGGGAGTGTCTAAGGCTTAAAAAAATTCAACACTTTTTTCAAATATTTTTTCAACATTTTTTCCATTTTTTTTCACGGGCAATGCCGGGCCTCATGCTAGTATTTAATATAGATATAATAAATATGTATTTATACATATCTATATATTCATATATATTTTGTGAAGTTACAATTGCAAGACCGTTCACATTTCCTGTGATTTAGTGCCTGTGCTTTAAGACCTAATATATTGATTATTAATATTATAGTATATGAATAAAAATCAATAAAGCAATGCACTGAGTTTCTCAAATATTCAACGAGTCGGTTTTTCTTACAATATATTTATATACAAAAGATTTTTACGTAATATAGTATAAAACTCATTGAAAAATTGTCAAGACGACATTTGATAAATTCTTCCGATGTATTCGTTATTAAGGGGTTCACTGTAGTACACTAATACACTTGTTCTTAACTTTAGTTTTGTAGCCCTAGACATGAACATAATAGTACACAAATACACCTGTTATTAACTTTAGTTTTTAAGGAGTAATCGGCAAATTTTAACTAATATTTAAGTGAGAGCTTTCAAGCAACTTTTAGTTTTGGATTACTATGTGTTTGGTTGGTTTGGTTTGGTTGCAAAGAAAAAATCTCTGAACTGTGTTTTTTCTATTTAGCACAGGAACCGAGCTAACATGATTAAATGATAGGACTACTTGCAAAACATTTTCCTCTCATAACGCCTCGCTTATTATTGCTTTGATCATTCACATTTTAAAACAATGATTATTAATTATTTCCACGATTTTTTAAAAACTTTTTAAAAATTCAATATTAATTAATCATACAAACAGAATATTATGTTATTGGTATTGTCTCCGTCTCCATTTTAATTGTGTACTTCTTTATCCTAGTAAGTTTAATTGTATACTTCTTTATCCTAGTAAGTTTAATTGTATACTAATGTGATTTTTTATAAATAACTTAATAACGGCTGGAATTAGAACACTAAAATTTTTTCCCTTTTTTAACTTAATTGTGAACAAATTTTGCTAAAACGGCGGCCCGATGTTTTAAAAAAATCAGAAATGCTCAATTACTTTTTAATTAATTAAGTTACAGAGCTATTATTTATATATTTTAAAATCCCTTAAAAAATGAATGTCAAAAAAAATAACTATTTTGAACATTTTCCTGACGTACTTTTTTAAAAAACTCTTTCTTAATCCTCCCTTGCACTGCACCCTCCAAATAATAAAAGATAGAGGTCTATTTTCTTTAATGACCAGGCCTTGCAAATTTGGACTAGGGACATTTAATAGTTGGGGGGCATGTATGTGTTTGTTAACTATTTGAATATATGTTATCATTCATATTACTTTATACATTTATTAGTTTGGAAACCCACCTTTGCCCGGATTTTTCCCTCTGTCAACCCATCCAACTTAAAAACTTTAAACCAAGCTTAGGACGTGTTAGTGGTTCTACCGAGTCCCCCAATCAAAGTTTGAGACAAATTGGTATTGGGGTTCTTGAGTTATGATCGGACATATAAACAGAGATTACTTCTTTTTATATTACATAGATTCAGCCTGCTTACAAAAAGTATCATTAAATTTATGAAAATGAATATTTAAAAAAGGCCTCTCTTCTCGTGAAGTACAAATAATCTTTGATCCGGAATTTCCGGAAATGCGCTCCGTAATGCTTCCTGTTAACTATTCAACCATTTCTTAATGTATTGCAAAACATGAAAATGTTTCTTACTTGCAAATCGGACTAGCGAGGGGGGAATATTTCAAAGCAATAAATTCTCGACGAAAAGGAAATAAAAAACTAACTCTGTTGCTCCTCTTCGAACATTGCAGATGTGTAAACTTCTAAAGTAATCTATGTTAAATCTATGAGAAATGGGGAAGAACAAAATTTAATCATAAATTAACATTAGAAAAACCTTCTTTATAATAACGATTGAACATTTTTTTTCATTTAGTAAAACTATTACAAAGTACTACATGTTTGCATAACGTATATAATGGTCTGATATAGGATGGTTCTGTGTGCGCTTGAAATGGCCTGATCCTGGCTGCGTATATAAACCCTGTGCTAGCAACCCAGCTAGCATTCAATATCAAAATGTTCTTCGCAAAGGCCGGACTTCTCGCTCTACTCGCTGCCGCTACAAGCGCAATGCCGCAAACCAACCAGGCTAGTGAGGATGCCGCATACGCCTACACCGGACCCCTGTACAAACCAGCTGATAAGGATGTGTACGTGTATGACCCTGCTAACCCCAACAAAGTATGGAACTACCCATTGAGCAGATTCTATGTACCCGCTGACCCCGCAGTGTACAAGTATGACCCCGCTAACCCCAACGTAGAATGGTCCTACAAGGGAGCTATTTACCAGCCTAACGCTCAGGGATACTAAGATGATCAGCCTTCAGTCATTCCTCCTGTCAATCCAACACTGAAAATTATTCGGTTCAGCCGTAACTTCAACCCTCATTCATCCCCAAGCAAATACATACTGAAGTTTGAGTCAATAAAATTTTAAGTATTTAAATTGTTATTTTTTATCCATGCTATCTGAAATAAACTGATTTGCTGGTACCGAATCTTATCAGAATTTAAAAAATCCATTTTCATAATTAAAAGTTTTACTTATTTTGTCTGCATCAAGCAAAAATTTTATTCAAAATATGTTAAAAACAGTTTTTTTCTTTTAAGCTAAATACAGCCAAAAAGGCAAAATAAAGGGGCTGGATATAATCTTACTTTTATTGTGCATTAGGCAAAGTGTAAGTGTTTAGGACATTTCCTAGATAGACATTTCATGAATGAGAGAAAAAATTAAGATGAGATTTTTTAGAAATAGAAGAATGGATACAAAGGGAAGTGATACAAAGGGAAGTGATCCAAAGGGAAGAGTTTTTTACAGAAAAGCTAGATTATCATATATTTTTAAGAAGTTAAGAAAGTACTTAGATTTGAATATGTTGAGTTGTTCTACCCATCAAATTACGGAAAATGAAGACAACTGTTAGGCGTTGTAATTAAAAATAGTCCAAAAACACAGCAATTGAGCAATTTAAAGACTCCCAGTTTAAATGTCTATTCGATCATTTTGCAGAACATTTTTTATCGGTCTAACATAAAATGCAACTTTCTTTTTTCATTTACATTCATCTCTCTCTCTGTCTATGTAATAGTTTTGTCTAAAAAATGTCGAATTTCCTTGTAAACTTGTCTATCTACGAAATTAAAGACAGACGAGGTTGAGTTCCGTGTGTAAAAACTTGCTCTTATGTTCTCTAAAATACCCTACAACATCAAACACCATTCTAGATGTCGTCTTCAATCGTAACTTTTTAAAATTTACTTCTTTTATCTCATTTTAAAAAATAATGGGACTCAATAGTTTTAAATAAGAATGTTACACAATGTTTTAAACCAGTCAAAAAGTATTCTTCTTTCTGTAGAAATATTAGATTATCGCAGGGGTTTTGTTAACTGTCTGAAAAAATACAGGGTGTCCCAATAAACATGGGAATTCAGTGTTTATTTTATGAAAACGGTAATGTAAAGATGTGTTTATAATGTCTTTGCAAGAGAGAAGGGACAAGTGTACTCTGTTTGTACACTGCAATTTTTTTGTTTTACTGAGTACACCCTTTTGCAGTCAAAATGTGAACATAGCAGACGAAACTCTTACAGATTACAGCTTCCTCAGTAGGTATCACTATATACTAAATCAAAGAATTATTTAAAAAAACGATATCGAATTCGTTACTGACTTTCCATGTTTATTGGGACACCCTGTACTAAAACATTTGATAAAACATAAGACATATGACATTTAAAACAACTATAGATAAAAAATACCCATAACGACGTTTCTTGATGAAAAGAAATAATTAATGAAAGCAACTGTTTTCTGGGTACCACTGTATATTTCTATTTCTAAAAATGTTAAAGAAAGGCCATGAAGTCTAAAAGTAAATATAGACGTTTATAAATAAAAATGAAAAATAAACATTCTTAGCATTCCTTCATGTTTGTTTAGTTCCGATCTATTGCTGGCGTGCCAGCAGGGGTGAATATGGCAACAAAATCATTCATAAAAAATAAAAGCAAAATGACGTTTTTTTGGTTTTGTGCTTTTTGAAAATATTTGTTAGAAGGAAGAATTTTGACAATTGTGAAAAAAATTTTGAGAAAAGGTTTAGGAAAAGGTTTAGGAAAAGTTTAAGGAAAAGGTTTAGGAAAAGGTTTAGGAAAAGGTTTAGGAAAAGGCTTATGAAAAGGTTTGGAATAAGATTTAGGAACAAGTTTATGAAAAGGTTTGGAATAAGATTTAGGAACAAGTTTATGTAAAGGTTTGGAATAAGATTTAGGAACAAGTTTAGGAAATGGTTTGGAATAAGATTTAGGATACAAATTTGTTAAAAATATGTGGAAAAAGATCTATGTAAAAAGTTTCAGAAGAGGGTAGGAAAAAGGTTTAGGATCAATAATCTGCAAAATTTGTTGCTATTGTTAAATTTGTTGAGGGGGGGGGGCTACACTTGTCTTCTTTTTGTTTGGGCCTGAAACCCCCCAGAAAACCATATATTTTACTGATCAAGGGGGGTCCTAGCCCCCATATTCCTCCACCCTTCGTACACCTCTGAACTTAATTTAGTTTTCATACAAACAAAGCGAACTTGAATTTCTTGGAGGATTACAGCACAGACATTGCCACAGAACCACATACTCTAATCCTTATATCTTTGCAACCTGATGCTAAAACCCTTTGACATTTAAAACTTAGATAATTTGATCCAATATAGTTCATAGATTAATCATGATCCTGGTGTATCTACCGTAGATTAAACATGATCCTGATGTATCTACCGTAAATAAATCATGATCCTGGTGTGTCTACCTAGATTAATCATGATCCTGGTGACGTATCTACCGTAGATTAAACATGATCCTGGTGTATTTACCGTAGATTAATCATGATCTTGGTGTATCTACCGTAGATTAATCATGATCCTGGTGTATCTACTGTATATTAAACATGATCCTGGTGTATCTACCATAGATTAATCATGATCCTGGTGTATCTACCGTAGATTAATCATGATCCTGGTGTATCTACCGTAGATTAAACATGATCCTGGTATATCTACCGTAGATTAAACATGATCCTGGTGTATCTACCGTAGATTAGTCATGATCCTGGTGTATCTACCGTAGATTAAACATGATCCTGGTGTATCTACCGTAGATTAAACATGATCCTGGTGTATCTACCGAGATTAATCATGATCCTGATGTATCTACCGTAGATTAATCATAATCCTGGTGTATCTACCGTAGATTAGTCATGATCCTGGTGTATTTACCGTAGATTAGTCATGATCCTGGTGTATCTACCGTAGATTAAACATGATCTTGGTGTATCTACCGTAGATTAAACATGATCCTGGTGTATCTACCGTAGATTAATCATGATCCTGGTGTATCTACCGTAGATTAATCATGATCCTGGTGTATCTACCGTAGATTAATCATGATCCTGGTGTATTTACTGTAGATTAATCATAATCCTGGTGTATTTACCGTAGATTAATCATGTTCATGGTGTATCTACCGTAGATTAAACATGATCCTGGTGTATCTACCGTAGATTAATCATGATTCTGGTGTATCTACAGTAGATTAAACATGATCCTGGTGTATCTACCGTGGATTTATCATGATCCTGGTGTATGTACCGTAGATTAATTATAATCCTGGTGTATTTACCGTAGATTAATCATGTTCATGGTGTATCTACCGTAGATTAAACATGATCCTGGTGTATCTACCGTAGATTAATGATGATTCTGGTGTATCTACAGTAGATTAAACATGATCCTGGTGTATCTACCGTGGATTTATCATGATCCTGGTGTATGTACCGTAGATTTATCATGATCCTGGTGTATCTACCGTAGATTTATCATGATCCTGGTGTATCTACCGTAGATTTATCATGATTAGGGAAAGGAGAGAATAAAAGGAGATCCTCCTGGAGCCGTATTCCCCTGATTTAGTCAACAGGAGTTCTCCTGATACAGTCAACAGGAGTTCTCCAAGGAGAAAGGTGCTTACTGCTTATTTAGGAGTTTCGATATACTAGGCATTCTGGGTACTTCGTACCCCTCTCTTTCACTATTATATTAGAAATAATAACAAATTTCGTAGATTTTTTGGGATCATACTGGTGAATTTTTTAAATATTTTAAATATCAAAAACTTTGGTGGCAATTTTTCAAATATATTTGTTCTAATTAAAATATCATAAGTTTTAACCTAATTATATCATAGACTCATAGAGGGTGTCTTATTTAAGGATTAGAGTTTTTTAGCCCTTTCATACGTTCAAAAAGGCTCTAAAATGTGTCTAAGTATGTAGTTTTTAATTTTAGAAGGGGTTGTAAAATTAATTTTTTGTTGTCTGATCCTTCCGTTTGGTGTAAAACCAGGTCCAATATTCGAAAATCTCCGTTAACTTCAGTTAACAAATTTGTTTAAGAAATAAAAAAAAATAATTTATAAATCTGAACGCACTTTAATTTTTCTTAGAAATTATACTTCCATTATTTCTTGAAAAGGCCCCAATTTGATGCTATTCCAAAATTGCTTATTTCTAAGGTCCATCAAAGCTGTTTGCAACCATGGGATTGCTGCAACCTTTCTTTTTAGGTTTCTCCCCATAGAGTTCCGGTTTATGAACACCTCGGATTTTTGAATATTGGACCTGGTTTTATACCAAACGGAAGGATCTGACAACAAAAACTTTTTTAAAAGACCCTTCCCAAAATTAAAAACTATATGTTGGGGCTAAGGTTTCCAGCGAACGAAACGTTTCGCGAAAAAACGCGAAAACTTTGATCGCATTTTCGCATTTTCTATTTCGAGAAACTTTCTCATTTATTTTTTTGAGAAACAGATTGAAGCGAAATTTTGCGAAAAAAACGTAAATATTTTTCGCGAGAAAATGAAATGCGAAAATGAAGCGAAACGGTTGCGAAAAAAAATTTTCGCGAAACGATTTTTCCTTTTCGCCGGAAACCCTAGTTGGGCCTGGGGCACATTATCAAGTCTTTTTAAATGAATAAAAGAACTGGAAAACTGTACATTTTTAGCCATCTCCTCGGTGTGGGACAAATGTACATTTTTAGCCATCACCTCGGTGTGGGACAATGCGCCCTTAAATATGGGATCACTTAAAAATTAATAAACATATTCTATATCTATATAATAAAACAAGACATTCATATATATGTTGCCTGTAGCCAGTGGACCGAATGGGCTGAAATTTTTGTGGACACTCATGGGTGGCTAAAAAATTCGAAATTTTTTTTTTATTTGTTCGTTTTTTTGATTTTTTTTCCACGGGCAACGCCGGGCCCTTCAACTTTTATTATTTAATTTTTAAGGTTTTGCTGAGCATCAAGAATCGAGATCTTAGAATGTCTTTGCATTGCTATCAGAACAGGCTCAGGCAATCAAACAAATATATATCAAACCAAAATCAAAATAATCAGCTAAAGAAAGCACAATATTCGAACCACGTTGTAAATCAGTGATGACACTTTTTTAAATGGAGGATCAATTAAAATTATTCCTACAGTCCTTTTTAACCAAAATAAACTTTACGTTCGATTAAATTAAAACACTTTTTCCCTAGAGTTAAAGTTTCAAAAACTAATGAAAAGTTTGAAACGATGTATTCTTGTATTTATCTTCTTAAATTAGCGGAACAGATGTCAACAACAGAAAAACTCTTTGCAAGATTTTTGCACTGATTTTGAATTATCTGCAAACAAAGAAAATATATAGTAATCAACAGAAAACTGTGGAATAGGAAGACGGCATGTATTTAAGCAATCTAATGTGTATTTGATGTTGCTATAAAACAAATATATTCGATATCTTAAAAAGAGTGTAAGATCGTCTTTGTAAATCTTTATAAATATTTATTTTGTTTTGGTTGAATAGGTTAGGAAGAAGTTTAAGCCCTGCACCCGTTTATTCATCCCTCTACTCTTCATCCTTCATCCCGAGATATAGATCACAATCACAGGTTTTCATCCTCATCCTCATCCTCATCCTCATCCTCATCCTCATCCTCATCCTCATCCTCATCCACATCCTCATCCTCATCCTCAACCACATCCTCATCCTCATCCATAACCACATCCTCATCCTCAACCGCATCCCCATCCTCATCCTCATCCTCATCTTATTATTGAATCTAAACTGGAAATTCTTGTATTATGGATATCGAGATCAATGCTCAATCTTCTTTTATTCAGAATTTGCAGATTATTTAATTTCTATTTGCTATCCAGGAAACTGTCTAAAATTCAACAGTGTCCACAGTGGATATTGAGATTAAGCGAACGGGATTAAGAATCCAACACAGGAGTTTCCAGCAAGAGAGCAGATTTATTTCAGAATTATTTATCTTTCTTGTATATAGATGAATAGAGTATATACAACAGACTCATATCCTTCAAACTATAGGTAAAAGATAAAAATAATAATAATAATAATAATAATAATAATAATAATAATAATAATAATAATAATAATGATGATGATAATAGTCAAATAACAGTAATAATAATAACACCAATGATGATAATTTTAATGATTATAACAATATTATAAAAAGATATATTCTAAAAGCTCAAAAAACTATCAACCTTTTTCTTTGGTCGCGCTTTGACATTAATACTCTTGCCATCAAAGATTAAAGATCTGATCTTTAAGCAGGGGCGTACGAGGGGGGCGCCCCCCTCTACGCTTGCCCCCTCCTGAGGGGGGATACACTCATATAAAAATTACTTTAAAATCTCACTTTTGTCCTTTACTAAAGAAGTTTCATTAAAAAAGCTTTAATCAATAAGCTGCCTTCAGTGTAAAAATATCTTTGATATCATTATTTATAATACAATTTATGTATGGTTTCTATGAAAAGAAAGATAATTTTAAAGAAACGTTTCCATCTCTATTTTTCACCGATTGACGCTTACCCCACATTATTAAGAGAAAGTGTCTGATGAGTCAACTTAAGAAAATTACATAAATAATTTATTAACACTTGTTATATGGAAGAGTGTATATGATCGAATAGTTTACATAGTTAAGAAAGGTATCAATATTTTGGGGGGGGGCGACTTTTTGACAAAAAAATGTAGCAGAGGCTTGTCCTAAAAAGTAAGAAAGCAGGCTGAAAGGAAGAAGGCTAAAAAGGACTTTTTTAACGGNCCAGGGGGGGGTTGGGCACAAAAAATGCCCCCTCTCTACAAAACTGCTCGTATATACGCACCTATCTTTAAGTCCTGTTTAGATTACCACCCTGTTTATCTCTTTGATTAAACTGTTTTCTCCGAATTTGACGTATACCAACCTCACGGAGCTAGTTCCATAATTTTTGAAAATATATTTCGGTCTGGGTTGACCCTCTTCAGCTCTAACGATATAATTACCATCAAATCAGTATCTAAACTTGTTAAAAAATCACAAGAAAAATGGTTGTCAAATAAAAGGGGAAAACAAACTCATATTATGATATGTCAAAAAGATAATTTGTAAATATTCACGTAAAGAATGTTTAAAGACAGTTATTAATTATTATATTCCTTGATATTTGTTTCTGTTATAAAGATACTACTAAGAATACTTCATTTTGACATAAGACAGCCATTAAAGATCAAATTCTTGTTAAGATGACCACCAAGTTGAAATATTTGAATCTTTGTTTAAACTTTTTTCTCCGAATTTGATCAAAGGATAACTGCAACAAATTAGAACTCAAGGAAAAGGATAAATAAACAAGGTTTAGAGATTGTTTATTTACAAAAAGTTTCTCTGTTTGGAAAAGAAAATACAATCTGAGCCGGCCGGCTTTAAGGGCTTTGAATTAAATAATAGCATTATCTTTCATCTTAACTTTGTTTAACCCTTCATTCAAAGAATGCCTAAAATGATTTAAAAATTTGTAATTTCTACATAGTACCAAAAAATTTAAATTGCATGGGTGCATCAGTGCATTGCAGGGCATGAGGGCCGTGTAGAAGCAGCCCTACTCCACCCACTATATTGAATCCTGTATACGCCCACTAGAATCCCTACTCCACCCACTAGATTGAATCCTGTATACGCCCACTAGAATCCCTACTCCACCCACTAGATTGAATCCTGTATACGCCCACTAGAATCCCTACTCCACCCACTAGATTGAATCCTGTATACGCCCACTAGAATCCCTACTGCACCCACTAGATTGAATCCTGTATACGCCCACGTAAAAATGTATGCTTCAAATTATGCTGCAATGGAAATTAAGTCAACGCCTTCAACCAATGATGAGATAAAAAAGATGACATTTTTAAGGTATTTAAGTGAATATTTTTATTGATGTTTTTTTATTTTATTAACTAAATTTAAGAATATTTGGAACTGTTTTTTGGATTGCAATTACACTTAAATGATATCCTCCTCTTGCAGCTTATAATCATTAGTTCTGTTGATTTGCATCCTCCTCTTGCAGCTTATAATCATTAGTTCTGTTGCAGCTTCAGTGTTTAAAAGGTTCAGAGTTGGGAACTTTTTTGTTGGATTTTCATAATTCCAATCCCTTGATCTCTAAATCCACTGTGGACACTTTTAAATATCTTATTTTAGTCATTTCTCACCTGATTAACGATCGTTTCAACCCCTGAATAGATAAGATAAGATCAAATAAGATAAAGTTTATTGCCAAAATACATGTATCTGTATACAGAACGAGTTTACAATTACAAATTGATGATTATATTAGCAGTACAAGTATAAAGCAATTAGGTGGAAAATAGCTCTTGGCTGTTTTGATTATTTTTTCCACCTAATTTTAATAATAATAACAAAACATTTCAATTAAATAGACTTACGGAAAACTATTAGACATCAAGATCTTATGCAAAATATTTTATGTACGATTACTATGCGGGATATCGAATAAAGATCAACAAATGATCGAAATCAAGCATTGATCATGATATCCACAATTACAATACGAGAGTTAACAGCTCTGATGAGTTTACCTCCACATACAAAATAGATTTTTGAGATTAAGCAAAGAAAAGTTGCAGCATTGAAGTTTTTTTTAAATTTAAGTAATTTGGTAATTTTATCAACCGAAGCTATAGAGAGAAAAAAGCTGCGTTTTGCTTTCTCTATCATAATAAAAGTATCGTTAAAATATTGTTCTCACCAATTTAAACTTTAAATGTATGAATTCATTCTGACCTAGATGCAAGAAACGGCCTAAAAATCGTCAGTGAATGAACACTTTTCTCCTTAACAATGGAAATAAAAAGAAAAATTACAACAGTCTTAATCTATATT